GTCACACTGCTTCGTCCAGTTTGCCGCAAGTGAGCGACAGCCTACTGCACTTACCGCTGACCCCACTAACAAGAAGTAATGCTGCCCAATACCGGTGCAATCACGGGTCTGAATGAGTGAGTCTAAACAAAGCTACCCATCAGCTTCATAAAATAGAACCCGAGCTCGCGTTCAAACTACAATAGGCAGATACTACGCACAGAAGCAAATGGGACCTCCGTATTGAGCGCTCCCCGAAAACTGGCAAAATGTCAAGGAAAATGCAATCTGTATGCCGCTAAAATATTGTGAAACACGTAAAACCAATTTTTGAAAAGCAGAGCACATTAGAAATACTAGTACATTGCGATTTGCCGAACCCGGCAGCGACAGACTCGAGCCAAGTTGAAACGCAGGAAGCGCCTTGATGGAAAAGACGACCAGACTCGCTGCACCCCAAATTATACAGCCCCCCCGCATCAAGATACAAAGGGTTTCTGGAAAATCTAAAACCTGGCAGCGGAGAGAGCAAACACGAGAGTCTTTCGGACAATGGAATAGTCATTGCCTGCATTACCCGGAAGGGCTGGATATTAAGCAGCGTTGGTCAGCCCAACACTGCTGATGTTAGCAAAATGGGCAGTCATATTGGCAGTGCTGAATACAGGAACTAGTAAGCAATTTTGTGAATCATGGTACAAGTGTAACCAAAGAACTGGATCGAGTAAAGCCATCGGAGTCGACAGCGCACTGGCAGCTATCTTGAGATCTAGCGAAATGGGGATCAAGCTTGCTAACAATGTAATTATGTGTATGGGAGTCCCTGTAGTTTGTAGTCACTGCACGTGAGTTCGTCTTCGCGTTGCCTACCATTAGGTAAAAGAGGCTGTTTGTAGGCTTGTCGAGACCCTTTGTATCCTGATTGTCCACTTCAGATATAGCCCTGCAGATAAAGCAACAACTAGTACGTGGCATTGGACCTTCTCATAACAAAACACCTTTGGACTGATGCCGTTGCTCTCAAAAAACCTACGGTAGTGCAGCAAGTCCCTTAGTGAGAGTTTTCTGGATCTTTTGCTGGATCGGCTGTGACGAGCAATGTGGAGTGATGCAAGGCCATCTGATTAGAATCCAACACGCGCACAAGCAAAAATACTAGGAAGGGCCCGCTTACGCAATTCTGACTCAATCTGACAGCGCACTTTTCCAGACAAGAAGTCTCTTTGATACGTGGATCTTTCAGTAGCATAACCCTGTGAAGGCATTTCCTTCCAACGATTGTGCGCAAAACTTGGAGACAGCAGTGGATATCGCTATCAGCGGAGGTTGTTTCCCTGCCGAATTTTCTCGCGAAGACCAGGTCCATACGAACAAGGAAAAGGAAGTGCATCTGTTTGTGCACTTAAGCCCCGCGGCCTTGAGTCCTCCTGATCATCCCCCTCGTGCTCGCATACCGCCATTCGCGCGATCTTTGTGGCAATCCTTCGTCTCCTTTACGGGCAAGTTCTTCATTACCTTCCAGTACAAGATCTGCTCCTCCATGAAGGGTTGCTGATTGTCGTGTTTCCACTGCTGATGTATGTGCTCACTATTATTCCGCCTCACTTTTTCCTTATTGGTCGTCATTGGAAGATCAGGACTCTCCCTTCCAAATTTCGTGGGCCTCTACATCATGGGATTCCGCCCTTGCCCTCTTTCATGATGCCGCATGCGTCGATTGTCCTCAGGCTGCTCCCTCGTGTGTAGTCATATTGAAGTATCTCCTGGAGCAGCATATCTAGAAAAGGCGTGCGATACATCCAGTATGGGTGCCCTTTGCAATTTCTAGGTCAGGCGATGAGCTATCCTCAAGTAGGCGTATTTGAACTTTGGGCTCAATAATTCCTGTCGCGCCGTGAAACAGATGATTAGCTTCTCCATGTCTTGTCGAACGGGTGGCTGAGTTGCTTGCATCGGCATTTGGCTACTTGCTGTGTTTCGTTGTCCCGTGAAATAGTCTATTGCCCTCTTCATCGGCGCATCGTTGAGCTACTTAGATGTCGCTTGCATCTCTGCCTTTCGAATTGCCGACAGAGGGATTTAAGTCGTGGAAATCTTGAAGTCTTTACTGCTGCTGTGCTCGTTGGGTGACTTGTTCAGCGGAAGGCTATTAGATACCTAAGTGGCTGACCACTGCTTCCGAGCCCCTTTGCCATAAGTGGCTTAGCGGCGAGACACATAACCCTTGCCTATCCCCAGTGTGGTCAGTTGCGGTCGGCCTTTATGTATAGATGTGCTTTCTCCCTCTGCTACAACTGGGTTGGGCACTAAGTTACCCAAAGCTCCGATACTTCTTATCTACAGCCTCGACAGCAATTCGTTCTTGTTCGGGAAATTAATGCTCAGTTACTCCTGAGATTGATGTCCGGAAACTCTGCATGTGGAGATATGGTTCCCAGCTGCTGTGTCGGAGGCGTTTCGCGACCCTCATTTTCTTGGAACATTGTACCTTACAATCCTCTATTGGATTTTTGAAGCTTGGCTGTCTGTTGTTTTTAATGCTTTTGGCCTTTAAGAGTCTAGCAAAGCAAACACTTTGCTAAATTGAACGATACGAGGAAACATCAGTAAGAATCGAATTCACAAATCCATGAACATAATGTATTTACCCTCATTAGTTCTCATGTTTCTACAAATTTTGTCTTGTACTTTTGTGGTCATCTATGAGCTGTAGGCTTCCAGCTCATGAACATGCTTTTCTGTCCGTACATGCGTCATCTGCAGAAGTGCTCATGGTTGTAACACAGATGGGACACTATTGAGGTGCGGTTTTCTATCCAAAAGCCAGCTTCGATAGGCTGCAGAATGCATATTTTTGTGCACAATGTAGCGACTTGAACTTAATCATCACTCTTTTTCAGCAGCTTTTATTCAACGTACACGCGTCACTTTTCTTCCGTTCTTACCGTCAGCTCCGGGGCCTTCCCCAAAGTACCAATCGATTGCTACACTATGCTTTTTTCTCCACAAATTATGCGCTTACTGCTCAATCTACTCTTCCAGCTGTGAAGTTGTCCACTACCGTAGAACATAGATTAGGGCAAAACCAGGAACTAGCTCCATACTATCCGCTGTACAACCGTTAGGTAGCCAGCATGCTGGCAGCATGTCATTATTCAGCACATCCATGAGCACATCCGTGAGCTTCCACTTGACATATGCCTATTTTTGCTGCTGCTCGTCTAATATTCAAGGAAACTTCCTCTTAGGACTGCAGCTGCGCAGCCGCTAAAATGGTAGGCATGCTTTTAGCCGTCTATTCGCACTGCCCTGCTAAGCTGCCCGCATGAAGGCTCTGCCCCACCTTGTTCCAGAGACCCACTCTACTTAGCTGGCAATAGATAAAGTGCGAGTTGCCGAGAATTGCAGAAGTTGCTTTTTCCTAGCGCGCCCTGACACAATGATCTACACCGCACATCTAAGAATACGTTCGTGCCCTCCATTGGGATACCCCACGGCATACTTAAGACTACGTCATGGTGCATAGGTTCAACCCAAAAATCACTCACCAGGCTGCTAGGATCTGATACTGATTTTATTGGCGAAAAAACGTGCAGTCTTGCCAACCCTTGTTCTCTGGCGTCCGTGAGCAAATCGGAGTCTTGGGTAGTGTGCCAACGGGTGAACAGACAGATTGCTCAACGTCACTTCACACGCGGTGGCATTGGCAGTGCTTGGCCACTAGCGAGAGTTCGTATCAGCGCAGAGTGGCCCGGGGGGAATCCTCAGGTGTGGCTTTGTCCTTTGTATCCCCTTTACTTCGCCAAAGCCTGCGTGGGAATTCCGCAGGTGCCTTCGGTGCTTACCAAGCAGTCTGCTTGTGCTAAGCCCAGTTCCGTTGTGGTGCAACTTTTCCTTCGGTCTCAATGGAGGTTGACAGATTACTCCTCGCTGTCATTCAGCTCCACAGGGCACCCCACAAGCCCTTCAGCTCAGAAAGGTGAGATGCTGCGAGGCTGTCGAGGGCAGTTTGGGAGCATGGGCTATCTGGGGCTCTCTCCTCTAGTCAAACTTGAACTGCTGGCTAGGGCTGGTTGACACACCTCGGACATCTATAGGTTACAAATCACAGCTTTACTCCCCTGTTCCAGCCATATACATAGGAGCTGCAATCATCTGCTCCTGAAACCTCCAGCATTACAATTTGCGAAGGCCTCAATGAATGGCTATGTGCTTTTGCGTGTGATCACCAAATCGCTGGCCATCTTGCGATAGCCTAACGTGACACGTTTGGAAGATTCGAAATAAACCAACAACTCAATATGTGTTTATATAGGCTGAGGCTTTTGCAAGTCAGGAAGTTCATTTTCTCGAACGACCGATCTGCTGATAGATGCCCCTGCCCAAAGTTTTCCAGTTCTCTCACAGCATACTGCTGCCCCCATCTCGGCACAGGCTGATGAGTAAAGGCTTATATGAAAGCTTCAATGGTTGTAATTCCTTTAGGCAGTTTGAAGCCAGGGAAGCGTTGTGGGAGAATATGATATTTCACTGGACGAGAGGAAAAATAGTTGCATCGAAACTTGCCATAAAACCGAAGGTAAAGCTCTATCTGTCCCTCTAGGAAGATATTTACCTCCACAATCAATGAAAAATAACAAAATGTTTGTTGAGCGTTCATGCCAAAAGGCTCCCTTTCTCCCTTTATGCGCCCCTAAGGCTCCAACGTGAAAAGAGGAAAAAACACAGTGCACATTTTGCGCCTTCAGCACTCTGAACATTTAGACAGATTCACCTAGCACCTAGCGCACACGCACACAATATTACATCTTATTGGTGTGCGCTAGCGTCACTCTGCAATATGCAAAGTATAGCAACAGCCAAAACAAAGAGTCAACATATCACCAGCGACCCATGAACATGTGTACGATAAAATGTCTATGTTTAGCGCAGCCAGCAACATGAGAACATGCGGGAAACCCATCAGCCTGCACTTTTCAAATTCACTGTTATGTAATTATGTGCTTCTAAATTTGTGCTCCTTAAGAACACTGTTCTCCTTTTTGCTTCATTTTAGAATCGATAGCACTACTCCCAGCTTCCCACAATCCACAGTTCCGACACTCACTGCGCAAGCAGAGGGTCACCAAAATGGTAGCAGCAAGCAGTACCCACTCAGCAGCCCGAAGGCTCTAAGACATTTCTTACGGGAAGATTGCGGTGCGTCACCGCTACTGGAGAATACTTTTGTAAGTCTCTAGCGGCTGGACAGGCTCCGACGTTCTACCACAAGAGTAGGGGTATACATCCATTGATATTCCATAGCTGGGCATAATATCCGCAGAAATCTCCACTTACAGGTGTTTGTCTGGAATTATAGGATGACTGGAAGCAAGATTTAATGAAACCACCTCGTGTGGCGATTAGTTCGCCTTGTCACCAAGATGGACATCTGTGGCCTTTTACATTCTCCGCCCTTTATATGGTTCCACTTTAACAATCGGCTTTTCTTTCAGCCCTTCAGAGCGTAAACTATACTTGCTCCCCTGTCATCTCCTCACGTTGCTTACAGGCACTGATTACGGACTGTGGGGAGGCTCGGGGTCTCTAATGCCCTGATTCACCACGCAACGGCGGCATGCTAAGTTGCAGGTCGTTGCGGCTCCTACGTTTTCTGTAAGGAGCGCAGCAGCTGAAGTAGCCGCTTTTTGCGTTCTTCTCTAGGGATGGGGCACTGCAGTGCAGTATCAAAAGGCACGCTATGTGTATCCCTTGCCTGGGGTCCCCATGAGAATGAAGCGTCGCTGCTGAACCACCAGGTGTGCCACTCGTCTACATCAGCTGGGGATGTTGTGTGAGCTTCTCCGTTTGCGCAGCTCGCTTGTGGTGTGCCGGATGCTTCTCCTGTTGCTGACGAATAGCTGGCCGATTTTTGTCGCACCGGCGATTCTGCGGAGGCACAAGAGTTGGATCCTGAATCTGCAACGCGCACCGCTGGAGGTACGCAGACCCCTTGGCCCCATGTACTGAGCGTCCAGGGTAGGGAATCGATGCCAAACAACGAAGCGAGACACTCAGCAGCTGCACGTACACCTGAATGCATAGCCCCATGAACGCACTGCTGCCCAAAGTCAGACGTGTGCTCCCCGCAAAAGAAAATGCGCGCATCGTTTAGGCTGCCCTCAAACGCTGCTGTTTTACACTCTGCTGCTGTAATGGGGGATGGCATTGCTGCAGTTGCGTGCGGCTGTTCCGCTCCTGCAGTGAAAGTGCCTGGTGCATGCGCCCCCACTCGTGGCTGGCCATTGGAGAGTCGAGAATGAAGCTGCTCCATCTGCTGCTGCAACAAACGCAGTGCTTGATGTAAGAGTGGAGGATCTGCTGCTGCCACCGTGGCGTGGCTCGGGCACCAGGGCAGTGGCAAAGACATCTGTCTTTGGTCGTCGTCTTCAACGTACTGTAATTCATAGAACACATACAGAAAATGTGCCGTCGGGTACCGACAGCAGCCTCCGTCACGGGTGATCCTTGGTGAGAAGAAACTGAAAAGTTGCGCGGACACCAATGAAGAAGCATTTTAAAAGAGGACGTACAGTCGAACAAAACACGCATTTGCACTCGACTAGCAGACAAGGGCGACGGGACTACACAGTGATAGCCTTAAAAATGCATGCACCACGGGCTTCGCCGAAAGCGAAGCAGAAGGGAGCAAGGAGTGTTGCCCACCTTCGATGGGTAGCCATAGGCGCAACGAAAAAGAGGATCTTCATCCCACCGTGTAACGACTGCCTGCAACGGCTGAGGCTGCGACGGGAGTTGATACATTTGCTGCAACACATGGCAGCACTCGTCAATCACCTCCCACGCCTCAACGGGTCCGTCCTCCTTGATCTGCAGACATGCTCCGTCGCTGCCGATTTTATTGGTGCTGTTCGCGCTGCCACAACGCTGCTGTCTCTCCTGTGAATCCAAGAAGCTGTCCTGCTGGGCTGCTTTCCGTGATCTCGCAGTGGTCTCTCTGGCCCCGCAGCCTGTCTGTCCATTTCGTCTTCCTTGCAGTTGCTGCTGCATGCAGATGCGTCGGATCCGTCTATTTCTATCTCTACGCACTTTGAGCCATCCCTTCGAGTTGAAGCTGTGGGCAACAAGGCAGCCCTTCACCCCCAGAGCGTCGAGGCTCATGAACTGGAATCGCTTGCTAAACGAAGGATTAAAGAAATAGGCCACACCTTCCTTCAGCCAAAAGGACCTGCGTAAAGACAACACCTCCCGTGCGGTGCAAAAGGCCCTATATACCACTCCCCTGCAAGGTGTTGAGGTGTGTATACACTCGAGCTGCCTTGAAGCGAATGTTTCGCAGACGCAGAAAAAGACAAACATGGTTCAATACACACGCCGACGTGCACTCAGTAGATCGACACATAAAGCTACCTGCTCATTCAGAACATGCTCTATCTGTGGATATACAGAAATGTGGGAAAAGAAAAGGACGCGCGGAAGGCTGTAGGATGCGCACTCGTTGAAAATGAGGATGACTTTGTTGTGGCTTCCAGCACCCCAGTGATTAATAGCCACCTGTCTCTCCACTGGCAAAGGCGGAGAGAAGGAAATAGATCCACGCTGCAGCACGCCGATCGGAACTGCAACGATCACCCGCATTGCCCACACGGACTCTTCTTCGGGCTGCTGCTGCTGTTTGTGCTGCTGCGTAGGATCTTGTCGCGTTTGCTGAGGCTTCGTCTGTGCATGCTGCTGCGCGGACTCAGCCGGAGAATCAAAATAGCTGGGGGCTTGCTGGGGCTGTTCATTGTGCGCATGCGACCCTCCTTGGAAGCCAAATTGCAGAGCCTTCAAGGTGGGGTCCTCACTGTAGCGCTGCAGTCTGAGTCTAACAAAGCTATAGTCTGGGGAAAGCCACTGGACGGAGGGATACCCTTTGAGCGTGTGATCAGCATCCGAACCAGCCGCCTCTGTAGCAGCAGCAAATGCAGGCGCAGCTGCAGCACTAGAGTCCTCACCCTTAGGAGACCCTTCCCCAGGTTGCTGCTGAAGAGCCTCAACAAGAACGGCCAACGCTTCTCTGAGTGCAGCCTCTCTCTGCTGCTCCCGTTCTTGTTGAGAGTGCGTGTCTCCGCGATCCAACCTGGGGGAACGCTCGGAGGGGCTGGGAGAGCGTGAAGAAGACGACGCTGATGACGGGGAGGGCGATCTGCTCGGCGTTCGACTGCGAACGGCGACGCAGCTGTCAGCACGCTGGCCACAGCTCGCCGCCTTAGGAGTCGTTCCCTCCTTCAGCAGCTCGATCGACCGCACCCGCCAGCCGAGCAGGCAGCAGCCTGACAGATCAAAGCCCCTTACCAACATTCGAGAAAGCCAAGAGTAGCCCTGCACGCAGAGGTGTGGCACCAGAGTTGTTCTTGCACACGTTCTCACTGCGCGTCTCCGGGGGTGAAAGCGCACTTGCATCACGAGCATCACGCGTTCCCACCAGCGTCAGCAACGGCAGCGGAGTGGAGCAACAAGCTGTACCTGAATGAACAAGCGATCGAAGTTCTCTGCCCTTCGGTCGCGAGGGGATGGCGTTAGGGAGGGCCCTACGCGCGTGCGGAGACAGCGCGCAGTTTCCAAGCGGCCGAGGAGCTGATAGTCCTTCCCGCGTAAAAACGAGAAGATAGGCTCTCTGGAGCGTTGCTTCCTAGTAGCATGCTGCCGTTTCTCCTGTCTCTTCGTGCGTTTTTCTTGCCCTTGGTCACTCCGCTCTTCTCCGGACCGAAGCACGTCCTCAGTGCCCCCGTAGGCACGCCCTCCAGCCGCAGGACCGGCTGTAACACCTTTGGCGCTTCCTTCGCCTTTGGAAAAAGACTTTAAGGGTCGTAATCTGCCGCCGCCGTCTGCAGTGCAGCGTCTCTTGTTGACTGGGGACGCAGCACATGTCACCGTCCTTTTTGCCGTTGCTTCTGCAGCCTCTTCTGAGGCGACTGGTGCCGTTGCAGGCCGAACGCGTGGAGCAGCCGGCAACGTCCGGCAGTGTGTAGCCGCGGCTCCATGCTCGTCTGCTGCAGCATCTGATTCAGACTCCGAAGGTGACGAGTAGGCGGGGAGCTCAGCACCCAGCCGGTCGAAGCCACAGACGTAGCCGAAAGACCGCTGCAACATCTTCCAAAGGATTTCTACGTCAGTTGCATCTAAGCTTGTTCCACCGCGACAGTCCATGAAACAATCCTCTTGGTCAGGCCGGACGCGTTTATCAAGAGAATCGCAACCACGCGAACCCCCCTCCCTGCCCTTCCCCGCTTTGTGCCTGCGCTGTCTCCTGTCCACGCGGCTACTAGGGCGCTTGCTGCCGAGGCTGCAAGGACTGCCGTTGCTGCTGCCTCCGCCTTTGCCGTTGCTGCCGTCGCGTCTGCTTGAGAGACCTCTGTTGTTGAGCTCGCGGGGGTCTGGCAGTCCGAGCGACTGTTGCTCTTCCAGGATAAAGCGAACGGCGCCGCGCAAAGCGGCTCCAAGGCTTCTAGGCGAAGCTGCTGCTGTGGCGGCCGAAGAGGCTTGTGACGATGCTGAGGCTGCTACTGCCGCGGATGTTGAAACTGTAGAGGGCGTCGCTAAGTCGTCTGACGAGTTTGTTCCTTTCGGCAGATCCGAGACTTCGTCGGGTGCCCCTCCGCCTGCAGCACGGGGGTCTACCGCTATGTCGGAGTCATCAGCCTTCCTGGAAGTGCCTCCGCATGCAACGTGGTCTTGCTGCTGCAGCTGCTGCTGCTCCGGCTGCCCCCACTCCCGTGCTGGCGGCTTGCCCTCTCGTCCCTGCTGCTGCACGCGCCTCCTGCCGGCAGTTCTCGCGTGCGAGTTGGCCGCTCTAAGCACCGCCCTAAGCCTTGCCCTGCGGCTCATTGCCGCAGCTACCAGCGTGGCATCCTGCAAATCCTTCAGAAACGCCACACGCGCCGCTGGTACGACGCGTCCTTGACGGTCTCTCCACTGCGTCGCATGCACCAAGGGTTCCCACCCGCCGCCTCCCCCCTCAACGCCGCTTGCCTGAGCGTCGCTCCAGCCCTCATCCTCTCGCTCCCCGCGAGAAGGCCTTTTATCGGCAAGAGTCGCTTCTCCGCGCTTCCTGCTGCTGCCTCGGCTGCGCGTCGACGCTCTGCGCCTCCTTTTGCAGTTGAAGCGGTGTCTCCAGTTACCCCAGAAGCCTACCGAGGGGAGACCAAGTCTGTTGGCTAGACGCCACACAAACTGCGGACTGCTGCGCTCGCGCATAAGCCAGTTAGCCCCCAAGTCCACGCCTACCCTGGAAGACGCTGCTGCTTCTTCTTCGCCTGCAGCACCCTGCTCCACGGACGTCTTCCCTTCTCCTGCTGCTTCAGGCTCGGCACGCCTCGAAGCAACAGCTGGGCAGACACCTGCGGCTGCCGCCGCTGCTCCTCCTTCGCAAAAAGCTGAGCTGCCTTCCGGCGTGCGTGCCCTCGAAGCCTCGCAGCCAAAAGACACCGCAGCCGCAGAACCGCCCTCAAGCCTCGCCTCCGTTGCTGCTGCTTCCGTCTTCGACGTTCGTGCCGCAGCTGCAACCGCTGCCGACTCTGCGATGGCAGCCGCGAGCTCGTCTCTCTCAGCCTGCGCCGCTGCCGCAGCAGCCGCGCGTCGAGAAGAGCGCCTCACTCCTGTGTCTTCGACAGCGCACTGCAAAGTAGTGCCAGACGCGAGCTTCCCTCCTCCTCCTACGCCTACCGCCTCGCCTACTCCCGCTGCAGTAGCTCTGACCGGCTGCCGCTCCTCCCCACCCTCCCTTTTGGCAACGTAGTGCCAAAAACGCGCAGCTGCTACTTTGTCGCGTTTCTTCTGAGGCCTTTTCGAGGGCAGCATGAGCCTCTTGAGGTCTTGCTGCTCTTGCAGCAGTCGCTGCGCCTCCGCTGCTGTCGCCGTCTTCTCCAGACTTGCTTGTCGACCCTTTAGAGCTGCCGTCCTGACACGTCCCCCCAGTGTCTCCCCCGCCTCAACGAGCAGAACGGACACCCCAAAAACCCGCAGCACTGCTGCCGCCGTTAGGCCGGCAATGCCTCCCCCCACCACTGCAACGTGGTATCCGGGTGGATCCGTTGTTCTCGCTGAATCGCCAACAGCGCCTTCCGTTGGAGCCTGGCGAGCGGCGAGCTCCTGCTGCTGCCCCCGCCCCTGCTCTGCTGTCGCAGTGGCGACTGCTGCACGCGTTCCGTTCTCCTGCGCCAGCACAGCTGCGCGATAAAGCTGCAGTCGCTCTAGCCACCGATCCAGGCGGGGAATCTGCAAGTGCTTTAGCGGGGGGGGGGCTGCTGTGGCGACAGCCGGGAGCGGCAGCTTGAGAGGCTTGGGATCTCTGCTGCTCGTGCTGCTGCAACAGCGAACTGCCCTTGCGTCTGCCACGGAAAGCTCAGCGTAGGAGGAGAACCCCGTAAGACTCTGGTGCACTGCAGGTGGTCGCAGCAGCCGAAGCGGAGGAACGGCTGCCGCTGCAGGAGGTGGGAAGGCGGTATACGCTTGACGCGGGGGGGAGGCTGCACAGGGAGGGGGCAGCACCTCGTCAATCAGGTAGCGATTTCCGTAAATTTCCTCTGTCTCCGCGCCTCCAGGAGACGCAACGTCTTCTCCGCGCGCTGCTGCTTCAGCTGCATCTCCAGCGGATTCGCAGGTGCAGCGCTGCCACGGCGTCTGCTGGCGCAAATAAAGCGCAGAGCGAAGAAACTCGTCCAGGGGATGCCGATCTGCAGCGGCGAGGGGGTCCCTGCTTGACTGTTGCGAGCTACCGCCTTTCTTCTTGACACGCTTTCGAGGCAAAGCTTCCACGTCGCTCTCTAGAGCAGCAGCGGCAGCAGCGGCGGCTGCTTCTTCTCGCGCTGTCGCGGCAGCAGCCGCAACAGGGCACGACGGTCTGTGCTGCTGCGCCTCCTTCTGATGCAGAGCCAGTTGCCGCTGTATGTGGCCAGTCTGAAAGGCCAGAGCGTCAAGGGAAGCGTCGACAATGTCGATCGTCTGCTGAAACAACACCTGATGCAGATTGCACGGCTGCTGCACGAGCTGCTGGCGCCGCAGCGGGCAGCGACTCCGCAGTCTGTATCGTTCCGTCCAGTCCAGCAGCACTTTGAATGGCTCTGTTGCAGCCTCATCGGCAGCGCTTTCTGCTGCGTGGCGCGCTTCGGCTTGCGCTGCTGCTGCGCCTGCCGTTTCTGCGCATGCCGATGTATCCGACACCCCTGCAGCTGGTTCTTCGTCTGCTGCTTCTACACGCCGAGAAAGGTCTTTAGCGGCTTGCTGGCCGTCGCATATCTCCGTTGCCATGAATTTAAAAGTGCCGGCTGCTGCGAAAGTTTCAGCGGAGACAGTCGCTGCCGCTGCGCAGGGTGCTGCCTTTTCCGGAGGCGTTTCTAAAAAGACCATTGGAATTTGCCTCTGCCACAGGTAGTGTTGCTGCTCGTTTGAGTACTGCGCGCCGCTGCGCCTCACTCAGCACCTGGGAAAAGCCTTCGCAGCAGCCTCAGTCAGCATGCTAGGCTGGCAGTGTTGCAACAGAGCGTGCTGCCGAATCAGAGAGAGGCGGGAGCTGCAGGTTCTAGACGCCCCTGGAGCGCCATTCTGGCAGGCACACACGCAGCTGAAAGAGGCTTCGTCTACGTGCAGCAGCTGCTTAGCAGCTGCTCTTCTTCCCCTAGTACGAATGCTTAGGCTTTCCTTGGTCGGAGGGGGGTTCCCAGCTCCATGGACTGCCTGGGAAATCGCGAAGTATGGGTAAGGAGAGAGAAACACACCGTTCTGCCGTGCGAGCTGGTGAATGGGGGAATTCTCGTAGTTTTCAGAAGGTCAGCACAAATGTGCCCATCATATGGGGGTTGGGAGGTACATCGAAAGGAAGGAAGCCCTCTAGAGGATCTTTAAAACTCTTGAGGGGGGCGAGGGGGATGTTAGCAGCATCTGCAAGAACAGACCTGCATTTACTCTGAGACACTTGGAAAGCGGATTTCATGCTAACAAATGCAGCAGCAGGGACTCCTGTTGCACGGTGGTGTTGCGTCGGCTAGCATTACAGAGGCGCCAACAACGCTGCATGCATGCATGCATGCGTGCATGCATGCATGCCACAGAGATGCCCCGGCAGTCCTGGAGCTTTAATGGGGCCCTGGCCCCTCCGCGATCTCCCGCAGGAGTTTCTACGCTATTTCTGTGTTTTTGAAGAGCAAAGGCTTTGACTTTCTTCCTGCGGCAACGTGTCGAGCAGCGTGGCCGTTGCTGGGCTTTCAGCGGCTCTGTAGACATACAGGACGGGGGCTTTTGTGCAGCCTTTGGCGTCGCAGCAGCGAGCAATTTGCACGCTTTGCTGAGTGCGTGCTCTTCTGAAACTGCGCAGCAACGGGTGTATGGGTGGTAACCGCAGCAGGAGCAGGAGCAGCGCCACTTCTCGTGCAGCCCGGCGGTAGAAACAACAGCAGCACTAAAAGCATCAGCGACGGATTCTTGCGAGAAGCCTTGGCAGCCGCAGCAGAAGAAACGCACTTAGCAAGAGCAGCGCAGCATGACAATGCTTGCCACACGGCCATGGGGAGGTTTTGGGGGGGGAGGGGCTGACATCGCTCAAGTGTTCGAGCGAAATCAGGAGGCAACTCTGTGAGTCTGTGATGGGCGCCTTGTCAAGGATGGCAGCCACTTACGGCACTAGAATCGGAGCAGCCTGGGGTGTCAGCAAGGGTGCTTCTGCTGCAGCGGCCTGCGTATGAGCAGCTTCCATGCAAAATGTGCTTGTTGCCGTACAGCTATGTAGGAAACATCGACTCTCAGGTCGATGAGGATCTTCTGTGGGAGCTGTTCACACAAGCCGGCGTCGTGCGCCTCGTCAACATCCCCAAAGATAAAGTTTCCGGCGCTCACCAGGGTAACTATTTGGACGCCCCTTGTTTACCTTGCGTCAATTCAATCTCTCTACGTGCTGGAATCTAGCACTTCGTCCCTGCTGCGCTAGATTCTGGCCTCCTAAAGCCTCGAAATACAGCCTTTTGGGGGGAGGGAGGGGAAATATCTACCCCAGAAGCGCTTATAAAGAGTTAACCCTCTTTGAGGCGTCCTTCGTCCCCCTGCGGCGATCGCCTTTCGCGCCGTCGGAGGCGGAATCGCACGCCCTAGCTGTGCATGCCCAGGCGCATGCAGCACCATGTCTCATCGCGTTTACATAAAACCCCTCGTGACGTTAGAAGTGGACATTGCAACTCTGTGCGGCAATGCTTTTTCCGGCGTAAACTCGCAGGATACGCCTTTGTGGAGTTTGAATCGGAGACTGACGCAGACTTCGCCCTGAAACTCATGGGCATGGTAAAGCTTTATGGGAAGCCTCTCCGCCTCAGCAAGGCAGCACATGACAGACGAACGTTTGATGTGAGTCTTGCCGTGTTTTGTCTGTCCATCTTGGATGCGTGTTTTTCCCCTTTTTCATAGTCTTCATGAGCAATCCCCCAGGAGGGGTGTTTTTGTGCGTCTTCCGTGATCGTGTTTTTGGTCGGACTCTCCTGCGCCTCTGATTTCTGCAATCCGCCTCTCGTCAGCGAGCGAGTGGACGTGCTGTGGAATTTTTTCCTCAATCCCCGCCGACTCTCCTCCGCCAATTATGATTTGCGTCGTCTGTGTGTCTGTCTGTGTGCATGCATGTATGTGAAGGTTGGAGCGAACCTTTTCGTGGGGAATCTGGATCCTGATCTCGACGAGAAGGTTCTGTTTGACACGTTCTCCTCTTTCGGGAATGTCGTCTCTGCCAAGGTATGGCGATGGCGAAACTGCGACCGAGTAGAGTATTTCGCGAGAGGCTGCGGCGCTTCGTGCAGCCCTCGAACTGCTGCGCAGCAATTCATTTGTTTGCCTCTGCCCCAGGTGATGCGAGACGCTGAAACTGGTGTGTCGAAAGGCTTTGCATTCGTTTCCATGGAAACTTTCGAGGCCTCCGATGCAGCCCTTGCTTCGATGAACGGGCAGTTCCTCTGCAACAGACCCGTCCACGTCTCCTACGCGTATAAGAAAGACACCCGAGGTACACACACGGCAACCATATCGCTACTGTTGCTACTGCTGTTGTTGCTGCTACTATTGCTATTGTTGCTGTTGCTGCTACTATTGTTGTTGTTGCTGTTGCTGCTACTACTGCTGTTGTTGCTCTTGCTGCTACTTTTGCTGTTGTTGCTGTTGCTGCTACTATTGCTGTTGTTGCTGTTTCTGCTACTATTGCTGTTGTTGCTGTTTCTGCTACTATTGCTGTTGTTGCTGTTGCTGCTACTATTGCTGTTGTTGCTCTTGCTGCTACTATTGTTGTTGTTGCTGTTTCTGCTACTATTGCTGTTGTTGCTGTTTCTGCTACTATTGCTGCTGTTGCTGTTGCTGCTACTATTGCTGCTGTTGCTGTTTCTGCTACTATTGCTGCTGTTGCTGTTTCTTCTACTATCGCTGTTGTTGCTGTTTCTGCTACTATCGCTGTTGTTGCTGTTTCTTCTACTATCGCTGTTGTTGCTGTTTCTGCTACTATTGCTGTTGTTGCTCTTGCTGCTACTATTGCTGTTGTTGCTGTTGCTGCTACTACTGCTGTTGTTGCTGTTGCTGCTACTACTGCTGTTGTTGCTGTTGCTGCTACTATTGCTGCTGTTGCTGTTTCTGCTACTATTGCTGTTGTTGCTCTTGCTGCTACTATTGCTGTTGTTGCTCTCGCTGCTACTATTGCTGCTGTTGCTGTTTCTGCTACTATTGCTGTTGTTGCTGTTTCTGCTACTATTGCTGTTGTTGCTGTTTCTGCTACTATTGCTGTTGTTGCTGTTGCTGCTACTATTGCTGCTGCTGTTTCTTCTACTATCGCTGTTGTTGCTGTTTCTGCTACTATTGCTGCTGCTGTTGCTGTGTCGATCTCTTCGTCTGCCTGTCTTTCGGGTTTGGGTGCAGCTTCTTTCGCCAACTGTAGGCTGTGGGGAAACGGAGGCATGCGGTGGGGCCCCTGCAGTTGTTCGTGTGTTTGTGCTGCAGGGGAACGCCACGGATCTGCAGCAGAGCGCCTGCTAGCTGCAAATAGGCCAGCGATTGAACGACCAGGGAGCAGCGGCAGCGTCACGAAAGAGGGCCCTGTGCCTTTGCAGCAACAAACAGGAACGCCACGTATGTTCTTAGGTTGTCGGGGCAGCAGCAGCTACACAAGACATATGTACTGTGTCTGAGTTGCACTCGCTTGCTGTGCAGCAGCGGCAGCAGCAGAAGCAGCAGCAGCCAAAGCGACAGCGGCGGTCTTCATGTGTGTGTGTGTATATGTATGTATGTATGTGTGTATGTTTGTGTATGTGTATGTATGTATGTTTGTGTATGTATATATATGTGTGTTTGTGTATGTATATGTATGTATATATGTGTTTGTGCCTTCGTGCGTTTTTTTCAGAGTTCGGCATGATGCAGAACGTGGGTCCGGGGGGCCCCCTCCCACCGTTGCCACTGCCGATCATGGGGACTGGGGCCCCCGGGTCGTTGCCTCCACCTCCTCTTTTCTTCATGCCGCGTCCAGGTATGCAGCGTGAAGAGGCCTCTGCGCTCGCTTTGCAGCGTGGCATCGACTTGGGCGCTTTGCTCTTTTCTTTCCCTCTGGAAAATCCGACAAGACGCCTTTTCGTTCGGCGCATTTTTCGGGGGGGTCGGGGCGGAGGGCTAGGCTTGCTGTTCTTGCATTGTCTGATGCTGCTTCTAGTGCATGCGGATCGGTACATTTCGGTTGGCGTAACGCCTCTGAACTGCGTCTTTCTTCGCAGGCATGCCGTTTCCGCCCCTGCCGCTACCCCCGACAATGGCGGGGGCCTCTAGACCAACGCAGGGAGGAGGCCTCTTGGGCGCTCCAGGAGAAGCAAGGGGCCCTGCCTCCGTGTCAGTGGGAATGGGGGGACCGACAGCACCGGTACAAGTGCCAGGCAGTGTTGGCATGATGCCTGGTGGGGCCCCCATGACCCCTTCTCGACCTCCTGCTATGGGGGCCCCTGGAGGCCCACCCTCAACAAGGCCTCTTCACTACAACATGCAGTCGCCGGGGATAGCCGCCCCCATGCGCCCTGTGGGGCCAGGCGGAGGGCCCCACATGGGAGGCCCTCAGATGGGGGGAGGCCCGCAGATGGGGGGAGGCCCTCAGATGGGGGGAGGCCCTCAAATGGGAGGCCCTCAGATGGGGGGAGGCCCTCAAATGGGAGGCCCTCAAATGGGAGGCCCTCAGATGGGGGGAGGCCCTCAAATGGGGGGAGGCCCTCAAATGGGAGGTCTTCAAATGGGGGGCCCTCAGATGGGCGGCGGACAAATGGGAGGCCCTCAAATGGGAGGTCTTCAAATGGGGGGCCCTCAAATGGGGGGCGCTCAAATGGGCATGAATCAAGGGCCTCGGCCTATGGGAATGCCACCCATGCCCGGGAGTGTTCCTCCGCGACCCCCCCAGAGTTTCCAGCCGCCTCCCAACGTCCTGAGGCCTCCGCCCACAGTGCTGCCTCCCCCCACGGCTCCTGCTCAGCAGCAGTAGGGGAGCTAGAGAATGTGTTTGCGGCTGTTCTTTTGTCTCTAGATATATATATATATATCTGCCTAGTGTATGCCTGCTGTGCTTTTTGCACCCGTGGGACGGTTGCCGTTTTAGCGGGGGGCATCTCAGTTTCAAGCGTTTCCATTAAAAGGATGATGCGACGCAACAGAGGGTGAGATACTCTTTGCCTACTGGGTGACGTTGATAAGTAAGAAACAACGCACGGGAGACAGAGCGGCCTATTGGTTTACGCCGAAAGCGTCTCTCCTACAAGTCCCATGCGTCCTACCTGACGCAACATCGGTAGTGCCCATCGCTTATGTACTGGCAGTAGCGAAGGGTGATTTTCCACGCAGTCAATACCACGCATGAAGCACCCGTAGACGTGGGTATTCCTTAGGAACTTGCCCCAGTAAGAAACCCCTCCCGCTTTTCCCTCCTCGGAAGTCCCTCCCTTTCACAGGTCCATTAAAATTGCAAGAGGCTCCCCAAGTTTAAGAACGTTGGCATCCAGGAGGTCTTCGGCGGATTCCCTTAACCGCTGCTGCTGCGCCTCCGAGTCAGAAAGACACTGCGTCCTGCAAAAATTTGACACAGCAGGCGGCAGCGTGAATATCAGAAGCAGGCTTTCCACCTTGGAGGCCTCACTGCGAAGTGTACGGCTGGGCGGGGGCATGTGGGGTGGGTGGGACATGTATGATGGGCCGATTAGCGCGAGTGCTTGTGGCTCAACATGGCCGTGTGAGAATGACAACTAGGAGCACCCAGAGGTATACAGATTGTATGTATATACAGCGCAACACTTCAGTGGCAGAACCAGGGAATCCGCCCTCCTTCACCCCCCACCGGCCCTCCCCTCCCCCCTAAAGGATCGAACTGCGCACAAAAGGCGGATGTACCTGCATTTAAGTTCAGCGAGGTGTTGTGCTTCTGCGCGCTTCCTCTCTAGGAGGTTGAGAGCGGCCCTGAGAATGACATCTATGACTTGCTGCTGAGTATCCTCCAATGAACAACTGATGACCAGCGCGTGCTTGGAGGACATCGTCGTGCAGGTTGCTGGCAGCCGATCCTATACAAAGCCACACCAGACGCGTCAGGCTTCTTAGGACCTCACTTCTCTGCTTGCGCCTGTTCCCCATCCCTTCCCCGCACCATCTCAAGCATCTAGCCTTGCATATATGGCGTGGATGCACAGGCAGAATCGTGATCAATAGAACGCAGAGATGAACGCGCGCATGTGCGCCTGCATTGTATCCACGCGAGTTCATACTATGCAGATTTAAAATTTTGAACGCCCAAAGAAGTAGAATAAAATTTTACGTCATTTACGTTGCACCCCTGCAGCTAGACGCTCACATATCATCTGGCACTGCAGCACGTTTGAACACTAATTGATTAGAACTCTTGCTGCTGCACAGCTACGAAGCTAGGCGGCTAGCTGACCAGACACTCCAGCAGCTATCCCCCTTGTGGCTCTCCTTACCGACTCGTGGAAACGGGCGAACCCCGCAAGCGCCAAGGCGTACATAGCTTGGCGAGCACCGCTAGGAGGCAGAAGACAGCCGTCAGCGATCTACGGCAGCAAATAGAAAGAGCGAGAACGCCATATGGGCTTCGCATAAGCCGTGTGAGGCTTCCTACATCTCCTGCCACTTCTACACACGCAAAGTTCTACACCTTTCAAAACAGCCGTGGAGAAAAAAGCTCGAGCACACAGAGAATTTGTTATTCGTATGCTCAGCGTGCCTGACCATCTGCTCATCGAAGTATGTCTGCGGACTCCCCGCAGGATTCTCAGTCGCATTTGTGATACGGCGCCACACCCGAGCAGCTTTTTCCCCGCATCGAGCAACCACAGTCCTGCAAGAAAGAGCACATCATATTGCAGTAATCTACAGCTTCAGATAGATGGGTGTTTTAGCTCTGCGGAGAGCTAGCTGTGAGGCAGGCTACCGCTGCCTATCGCTAGTGCACAGGAACATAAGACTCCCCATGGTGGTTCCTTATGCATACAAATACGTTTACACGCGTTTTTCCGACACACACGGCAGCGCTCTCAGGATCACACGAGCAAGCAAATTGAATTCTCATGTATAGAAAATACACAGAATGCTAAGGCCTACAGACAGCTACCCCCTGTGCAGCTACCTGTGGCAAACTGAATCTCCCTAACCGATAAAGGAGTGTTGCATAAGGAAGACGCTGGTGCATCAATTGACCACGTATCAAGTGTTCTTACTCGCAGAGGATGCGGCGCTGCATGAGAGCTCTAATCTGCGTCCAGTCTAAGCGATAGGCTGCCTGGCCATCTGCAGCACTCAGCACACTGGTAATGCAAAATCGCTATACCACGGTACTGAGTATAGACACGAAGTCTCGTGGACAAAGACGCCGCTTTAATTTCAGAGAAGAACGCAGATCCGCGAATGGTCAAAAGCGACTACCACGTGAAAGATGCAACAAGGCACCCAGCACTCAGACACGATATTGCCACATAGAGCACACCGTAGGCAACCCCTCAGCGAAAAGTTCTCACAAGCCCACAGAGCAAAAACAGCGCCTGCTCTGTCATCACGGTAGCACATGCAACCGGTTTGAAATGATGCGATGCGTAGTTCGAGTGGCTCAAAGGAGATCGAAATGGAGGTGGGGCACTATTAATGTCTCGTCTGGACGAGGTAGGAGCGGCCGGTTCCCTAGTGCATGCACATTTGGAGGGTACTCTGTGTGCTATTCATGCACATGCGCATGCAAGCACCGACGTAAAACTCACACGCATGCACGCACGAGGCACAGAACCTCTACGTCCATTGAGCCTACCCTTTATTGTGTTCGCCAAGAGGCGGTCCGGATGCTTTGTCAAACCGTCCAACAGACGGATCAGCTGCGACTTCTGCACAGACACCCGAGAGGCTCCCGGCTGCTGCTGAAGCCCTGCTGCAACCGCAGCTTCTAGGGCATCAAACGTTGACCATTCTGCGCATATAATTCTCACAGGAGAAGCTGTATAGGCTGCACAGAAAGGGGCAGCACACGACGCACTCGTGCACGGGGAAAACCAAGCACTCAGTGTTTTTCCCACGTACTGCAGTGTATATCCAGGCGTGGGGTGGGCTGCTGGGTATCTACACCGCGCTGCAGCAGCTGCTGCTGAGGCTTTAGTCTGACTGCCTGCAGTAAGGCAGCCACCGTTGCCTGCACAAGCCGAGTATTTCCCACGCGAGCCAAAACGAACTCCTTCACTGCCTGCAGCAACAACAAGAATTGCAACAACCGCAACCAGCTCGTGCAGGCGGCCTCGCAAAGCCTCAAGAGGCAGCCCCCCCAACTGCTGCAAAGACCACCTAAACAGCAACAGCAGTGGCTGCAATGGATCCAGAGAAGTTCATGCCAGGAAAATATACGAGCAACAGCAGCTGCACTAGCAGCAGCAGCAGCAGCAGCATCAGCACCTTCTTGCATAGCAGCAAAGAAATAAGAGGGGCGTTCACTTGAAAGGGAACGCGTTGCTGTTGGAGGCGAAGCACCAGGCTATCCACAAGCTGTTGCTGCTTCTGGGCATGAGTGTTGCTGCTGCTGGCGCTGCCCGAAGGAGTCGTCTTGCGAGCCTTTACAGATACGTCACCCTCGTCTGCATGGCAAAATCAGCAGAAAATGTGGCCTTAGCGCTTTACATACAGAGGGCACGCAGCATGCATGAACCAACAAGCAAGCCGCTGCCGTTGCAGCAGCTGCACCACTGCGTTATTATCCCCAGACGCACCCAACATAATTCTCAAAAAACCAGGAAGACCACCTCCTTCCTCGTATCCCTGCTCTGCATCGGAATCATCTGCGATGTATGCCTGCAGTGTACATACACATAATACGCACATACTGACACCTGCCGTATTCCAACGCTTAGAGAGGCATTGCGCAACATGAATGGCAGGAAGCGCAGCACAAGCCACACACACACACACACACACACACACACACACACATACAAATGCAGCAGCAACAGCTAGGCCTCGTAAGGCAGCGCAGATGCATTGCGTTGCCTTACGGGCACATCCGCCGTCTTTGAAGAAAGCTTCCGCAAGGCAGGCTTCACTTCGGCTTTGCGTCTGCGGCTTCCTGACTGTTGTTGCTGCACGTGCTGCTGCTGGTCCTGCTGCTGGTGATGCTGTTGCTCCACAGGTGAGGGCATAGGAGGTTCACTCTGCACCAAGAAGGCGCTCGAGACTAACTGTAAGAAGCACCGCTGCAACTCTTGCTGCCTATGACGACCCCGTGGCTGCGCAGTGGCATCCTCGCCGTCGTTAGCATCTGCATGCGCAAGAGAGCAAAGCATCGCTCACGGCAAGACGGTAACACAGGCGCCCCTCCAACCCACCCACCCCCTTTCTTCCCGTTTAAAAACACGCGTCTCTGTCCGCCCCGCTCTGCCCCCCGCTTTCCCCACGCACTTGCCCCCACACAGCCAGCCAGCCAGCAGAGGAGGCGAACGTATGAAGCGCCAAAGCCAAGATCACCGCTATTTCCAAGGCAACGCTTGACGTACAGGGGTCTGCAATCGCCAAGGCTACTGCATCTTGCATGCATACGCGCCCTGCTTTCAAGACTTGCAACAAAAGCAGCTTGGCATCCCTGCCGAGCGCCTCCTCAGTGGCGGCAGCAAATGCGGGGAATCGCAGGAACGCTAACGTTGCACGACCATCAAGACTGTATCGCACGCCTCCATGAGGCAGTGTTGCAGGCAAGGTGGCTGCAGTCCCCGCTGCTGCCTGCCCATTGAGGGAGACGCTGCCGCTGGGAGCTCCAGGGCGAGTAGCTCCTTGGTGCAGCTGCTGCGCTGCAGCTGCATCCGCTTGTACAGCCGCTGCAACGGAGAAGAAGGGGGGAGCTGCTTGGGGGTTCCCTGAGGAGGTTACGGGAGTGCACTGCAGGAGGTTGTGTTGCACGAGGACCAGTAGGGCGTTGCGAAGCTTGCAGTAGTCCTCATCTCTGCCCTGATGCGGCAGAGCCGCAGTCTGCGCATTCTTGGCGTTCGAAGGAAGAGGCTTGACGCACCAGCCTGCGCTAGTTGAGGAGCCTGCCGGCTTTGTCGCCGCGTGTGTGGAGGCGTTTTTCGGGGAAGTAGAGGGTAGCATGTCTCGCAGCTCTAGGAAGGTGAGGCTGCGGCAAAGCAGCAGCTGCCGACCAACAAGGGCCACATAAGGACCAAACGCATCCTGCAGTAAGGCGCAGGCGAGGTTTACCTCGCTCCTGAGCATACTGCTGCTGCCTCTAGCGGAGAATGTCTGCCCCTCTTGTAGCTGCGTGAGCTCTGCGCCTTGCTCCTAAGGGCGTTGGCTTTGGTCCTCGTATTGCACGCTCTGAGAAAACGCGTGTTGCCGCAACGGATCCTGCACTGACTGCTGCCTCCCTGCCACCACATGAGCTGTTTTAGACCAAGGCAAGCTGCTAAGACGCTGGGGAAGGCCTGGGGGGTACCGCATTCGCCTTGGCGTGGCTTCTAATGCGGCGGCTTCCACGACTCTGTAAAATGGCTGCATGCCCTCATTCTGCAATGCAGAATGCCGTTCCCTGCGCCCCCTCTGCTCGCTTCCCTCGATTTGCTTCAGCAGCTGCAGACGCTAAAACAAATCGCTGCTCTTCCCGCCTTGTCCGATCCCCTGGTGTGCATCCAATTGTGAATTTTCGGAGGGAATACGTAATGCTAGCATAAGGTTTGGGCTGCTGCGCCTACGAGCGCTGATGCTCGGGCAGCTCCGATTACGCCTTTGAGGCTAGGCAAAGCACCCAGCCGAACAGGGCTGTAACAAACTTCCTTTAGATCGGACGACCAACAGCTGCGTCATTTGTTACTTCAGCCTAAATTCTATGTAACATTTGCGCTGCTTTCTATTGAAGGCTGCTGGTGCATGCGCTGCCTTGCAGGTACCCCACGAAACCCAGAGGCCCCCCCTGCGCGCCGTTCAGGAGTGCCAGTTCTGCCGGAAAGCTGCATGATGACTAGCTTGGCAGCAGCTGCGGCAGTGCACCATTTAAAGCGGATCTGGGCGTCATTCCACGTAGTACATGTGTTTCTTGCAGCACTGGTGAGTGCAGCAGCAGTCGCAGCATCGAGCTCAGGGGCGGCGGCAGCAAGAACAAGTTGCATGTGTGGTGAGTGGAAGTTGCATTTTCGCGTAGCACTGGCGTAAGCCGCGTCTGCAGGATGGGCTTTCGTCTTGGCGTCATCAGCAGCAGCGCAGCTTAAGAGACTGGATCGGGCAGTCGCTGATCACCATCCTAGGCAGTCGCAGCCTGAAGCTCGCCAGCGAAGGCACTGGCAGCAACAACAGCAACACCACCAAAATCATAACAATTAAGGGGACATACACGGAGGAGCTGCACCTTCAGGTGCGCGCAGCGCCGAGATGGCAGGAGATTTCATTATCGGCTGCGTGGGGAAGCCATCTGCCGGTATGTGGAGAGCGCACTGCTACCTGCCGTTAGAATGCGTGTCTTTAGCTGCAAGGCCGAAGACCCTGCATACTTCATTCCGAATGTGCGATTCGGGTGCATTGCCTGCAGGAAAGAGCACCTTCTTCAACGCTGCAACGGAGGGTTCTTCAGCCAAGGTGGGCAGCTACCCGTTCACGACCATAACCCCCAATGAAGGCATCGCGTATTATACCACGGACTGTCCTTGCAAGAAGTGAGCGCACATTATTCCGCCCAGCTTCCCTCCCTTTGCTTCCATCCTCCGAGACGCCATCTCCTGGGGGATAGCTAAAAATTCAACCTCGCTTGCATGCGGCATACACTGCAGACAGACCCTCCCATGCTGCCTCGCCCCTAGAGGCCAACGCTTTCTGGCTCCCGCACGCGTCGGTGCTCTCCCCTCGCCTCGCCTGTCTTGCGGCATGCGACTTTCTTCAAAACTGGCAGTGACGTGCTAGGAACACGCAGACAGACACACCGTGTTGCTATCGTATTCTCACAGGTATGGCGTGAGTTGCACACCGCGCTACGGGCGCTGCGTAGGAGGCCAGCGCGCCATCCCCGTTCGGCTGCTCGATGTCGCGGGTTTAATCCCTGGAGCAAATGAAGGCAGAGGCCTAGGCTGCAAATTCTTGGACGACCTCCGCGTTGCTCATGTCTTGTTGCACATCATCGACATCTCTGGCACTACAAATGAGAAGGTCCGCAGCGCCACTGCTTGCACACCGCGCTCAATCGCCTTTTGAAGCCTTCTGTTGGGGGCGTTTGGCTGTCGAAGGCTGCAGTTCCTCCTCTTTTGCTGCATCCTGTTGGTGGGGCCTGCGAAATATATGGCTTACCCTATGCTCTGCCGCAACTACGGCACCCACATCTTTATCGGCTTCCGCGCGATCTCAGAAGCCTACCCTGACTGCCTCTCCTCTAACTGCAGAACTCGTGTCAACACTCTCTCCGACGTGCGAGACAGCCCATGATGGCTCATCAACTCCAGTCTCTCCCTCCTCCTTGCTGCCTGTTAATCGACGCAAGCACCGGCGTGCCGAGGCTCTACGGGGACGTCCGTTTTTGTCTGTGTCGCTGCTACCACAGGGGGAAAACACAACGGGCTACGACCCCAGCTCAGATCACGAGTGGCTCCTGAGCGAAGTGCAGCTTTGGATTTACAAAAATCTATGGAGCAAATGGTCTTCTCTTGCCAGGAAACACGCTGCTACGAACAGGTGCCCTTTTTTCCGCTTCTCCGCCTAGTGGCCCTTTGCAGACTCTAAACATACATATATATATATGTATGGCTATAAATATGTATGTATATTTTTTTTATGTATATGGGATATCTATATGTATGTTACATGTCATGTATGAATAGAGCAAGCAGAGCTAAAACAGCATTTAGGGGTGTATTGCTTCTGCAGCTGGGTCGTCAGGAACGCACACGACCTTGTTTGCCGGTTGCAGACCCTGTCTAGCAGCTTGCCCTTCTGCAGGAGCAGCCTTATCTATCTGGCGGTTCTGTGGGAGGCGTAATATTGGGTTCCGCCTGGCGTGTGCGTCGTTCTGCAGCTCCCTGCTCGACACCTTCGCTGCACAGTTCAGCGGATACGGCGCTTCTCAGACGCTTGTGGCGTTGGTGTTACAGGAGTTGCAGCGCATTCGGAGCGCCCGAATCAAAGCCACGCGAGCCGCAGTCGCTCCTGAAGCAGCGGCAGCACTAGCATCCGCTGCTTGTGCAACGGATGATGCGTCTCTACTGCTCTCCAACGACCTGACAAAATGGACACCGGAAGACGCCATGGAACTGGTGTGTCTCTGGTAGCTGCCTTCAGGGGTCGTTAGCGTTGTGCAGAAAAGTCTTGCATAGCTGCCTCGAGCGATTGTTCTCCATGGAGGTCTACTGGCCTATGGGGAGGGAGGGGGGGGCGGCAACGGGGGTTCGAGCGCCTACCCTTTGGCATTCAGTGTCTAGGCTCTGAGGGGGGTCTTTTGCAGGTTAAGCTCTTTGTCAAGATTCGCTTTCCGTTCGTCCTGGTGCTCAACAAATGCGACGCCGTAAGTCCTAGGATAGCAACAGGCGCAGTGCCTGTCCGCCGTGAGCTGGAAACGGTGGAGTTTCTTATGCTAGAGGCTAGGGAGGCTGCTGAGACTTTCTCTCGGTGAAGGCGTCAAGCGTAGTCATGAGGTGTACCTCGAGCTGTACTGTGCGTCTTCAGGGCGGCGATGTAGACAAGAACGTCTTGCGACTTGCCACAAAGTTCCCAGGACACCCCCTCGTGCTAACGAGCGCTCTAGCCGAGTGCTTCCTGCAAAAATTGCAGCAGCAGGTGCGTCACTCTCTAGGCTCCTCCTCCTGCACTTGAGGTTTCCGTGCCTGCTCGGAGGGGTGGGCAGCTAGGGAGTGCTTGGCACGGTATTGTGAAGTTCTAAGGATCTCCGGGTGCCTCCTCCCTTAACGAAGATGTTAAGGGTTCGCTGGAGGGACTGAAGGAAGGCCAGGATGTGTGCAGTCCAGAGGTAGTGAAAGCGCCTGGCTGTTTAAAGGGGTTGCTGAGACTGCACAAGGCATTCTCAGTACGGAACCAGGTGTAGGGGGGTGGTGTGCCTTTTCTCATTGGGGTCGTCATAGCGCTAGCGGGAGCGCTAAGATAGTACTTTGGATGCTGTACGCGCTTCTCTGTCGAGCGTGGGTGTTGAATTTTTCAGAAAATGATCTATTACGACGCTAGCAGCGGGGCAGCGTATTCTAGAGAAGACGCCAGCGGTCCCTGCAGCAGTCGGCTCAAAGAAGAACAACGAAAGGCTATCCAATCTCTGAAGCCAATCGATGCAAAAGCCCTACATCGCCTCGAGAAGGTTCGAGATCTCATGCTCTTCCGGCACGGAGGCACCGGCGTGGCGGAGGTACTGCAGTCTTGCTGTTGACAGTATTCCTGTGGTTTGTGCCACTGCAGCTCCTGCGAGTGCAGCTGGCGCTGACTGGCCTGTCGTTTCTGCTACATCTTGCCTTTTCCTCACATGCATTGCTGCCTTCGTGCTGCTGTTGGGGAGGCACTTGAGGCTGCGGATCCGCCGTCGCTTGTGCTGCGGATCCGCCGTCGCCCCCACGGTGCAGATACTGCTGTTGCTTTGCTCATGCTCATGCTGCACGGCTGCCCATGCAATCGCTTTGGCAGCAGCCGCAGGTGCCTATCTACAGAAGGCAGACCTTATTGTCGAGGGATTGCCGTGGCTGAGGTGACCCTGAGGTGTTGGAGCATTTTGCATCCCCTGTGATTTCGTTCGGAGCGCAGGCGTTGCGTGTTGCTGTGGAGGTACTAGGTCAGCGGATGGCGATCTATCCCGTTAAAACACTACAACTGACCGTTCCAGACAAGAAGGGGAGGGGGCCTTTTGTTGAATGTCTACTTGTTAAAAAAGGCATCACGTAAGCCTCTGTTGTCTGACGCACTACACTAGGGCCCCTATACCTCGCAGAAAAACTGCGCTTCGATTATTTCGGTACACTCCAGGCGCTTTTGGAGGCGTTTCTGCTGGTTGAGGTTTCTCCGTGCTCTTCTTTTTCATGGGTCCATTGCGCAGCACCTGCTTGGCACGCTTAATGCAGAAACCTATGCTCTATGGGTGACCACATGTTGCCTATCTGCGAATTTTTGATCCTGTACGTACACTGCTGCAGTGTTGGCGAGTTCGCCTCTCTTCTGCATCCGGCAATCGGAAGGAATTTTTTGTTTGGTGAGCTCCCAGATGGCCGGCGCATCGGGGGAAGCGAGGTGTTGACACCGGAGTGCAACATCCTGCGCATAAATACTGACAAATCAGCCGAGTAATTTGTAGCAGCAGCTCACATATCAGAACCGAAAGTTGCGCTTTTCTCGAGGTTCCCTGCATAGAGAGTTGTTTTGATGCTTTGAAGAAAGCGCGCTCAATAATCGTAGCCTAAAGGGTATCAATGTTAGGTACGCCATTAGGCGCAGCCACATGGCATTACGTTTATATGACCAGCTACGTGCCCTATCAGACCTTGCGGGAGTAGTGCTGTAGCATCAGGGGTCAGCCAGTTCATTTCTCGGCGAGCCATGAAGAGCATCTTAAAAACAAAATAGAAACTGAACAGGATACGAAGTAGCGGCGCAGTGAATGCGCTGTGAAGAATCGCGGACACCTGTACTATTATAGCAAGGGGTTTTATAGTATACCATAGCCATAGTATTGGAAGCCGTTGATGTAATCATTTTCAGTCAGCACGGCATGTGAAGCGCTTGTTGCTCCTCTCCCACAATATGCAGGCCACTAGATTTGCTCTGCTTCACAAAATAAGGCAGATGTGCTGCGAACAGCAGACGCACATGGTTAACGACTCGGATCGACAAAAACTCCTAAATGGGAATTGGGGAGCGCTCCTGTTGACCGAATCAGTGCTACGTTTCTGTATCAATGGCTATGTAACCTTTCAATTTACGACCGCTGTATGCCAGTACAGAAATTAGGAGGCATCGCCAGGTAGCGGCAGCCGAGCTGTACACAGCCAAAAATGCATCTTTTAAACTCTAGGTGCACGAGCATTGAAACTGCGTATGCTGGCTCCCGGAGCAGCAGCTGTCTCATGGTTCAGAGGGTCCCGTGGTTTTGTCTCACTGTGTTTTAAACGAAAGTGTGGTTTCTTATGAAACTGTTGCGGGGATCTTGAACCTTGGAAAAAGATGCGTTCAGGCCGCCAAAAGGGCAGCGTCCTCGTAGGCATCGATGCAGTGAAACGGGGTGGCCCATGGATTAAAATGGGATGTGTTTACAGCAATCGATATGCAGCTGCCGTAACTTTAAACTATATATCCGTGGTTTTGCTGTAGCCGCCGATTGTGCCTTGATATCAGGGGTGAGGAAGCCAGTGAAACGTTGCCGGCGCTGTATGTATTGCAAGGAAAGAAAGTAAGTCTAGCAGTACTGTTGTAGCTAGGCACACAAATACACTTGCGCCATTTGCACGTTTTGGTGCTGCCCTCAAGCACGCTGCTTTCTTGAGGTAACCCAACTGCGAAAGAGGTCCATGATTCTTTGCAGTAGGCACGAACAGCTAAAACGGTTGGCTTGGCGGTTGGGCATTCGGTTGTAGGTCGTTACCCTCATTGCGTAATCAACAAGGTGTATGGAGTAAATGGGCTAATACTGTGTAGCGTGTGGAGGCGCGCCTTGATATTCAGACCAGCTGATTTTTGCCCTCCCTACGGAAAGGAGGTACATACAAGAAGATGGAAACTCCACCATCGCTGGTGTGCAGAATCAAATTAAGCTTATCCTTTTAAGCGTGTCAAACGTTAAGTGGAACATTTGACGCAAGCTCTGTATGAAAGCACGCAGTTCATATCCCTGGAGGGTACTATGCTAAGTGTAGATCCCGACTGCCAGTGGTATCTTCGAAATTCAGCTTTCTGATGCAACCCCTAATAGTAAGGGCTGCCTTTTACTAGCGAGTGGTAGCTTGTTCACATATGATACACATCCCCCCTTAGAATTCGGGATATGTAATAATTTCCTGGATTTGAGGCTTACTATACACTACAATGTATACAGGTATGTTAACATTAATGTGGCAGCCCATGTTGGCGGGAAATATTCACAGCTGATTTGGATACAATGATATTGTAAAATTTTATTATTGGGGTAAGCCCTCCATAGATTTGTTTGGGACACCCTATTTACCAGCGTGCCTTCGTGGGAAAGTGAGCTCAATACAGTGAATTATTTCACGATGCTGCATATTCGGGGCAAGCTGATTTGAAAGACAAATAACATATTCGTATGAATCATTTTTAAGTGACTTTCTGGGTAGATTGCGGCGGCCCTGTGAAACCTGCGCCGTGAAACCCTGTTTTCGAGGGACCACTCTTTTCCAATAGTGCTCACATCGCCGCAGCTGTGCTATATTGGAGCAGAGCACCGTCATATTTTTTGCGCAACTCGAAGTCTATGATCAATTCAATTCTCCTTAGGCTAACGGACTCTCGAGGAAGGACACTGCACATGAGGCTCTTTGACAGCGGCATTTAATCGTTAAGTGCATGAGAATTTTGATGTACTGCCAAAGCCAGGTAAAACAAAAAAGCTACAGATAGCTATAGATTTGCTATTTAGCACTGGAACTCATTAGGAGGCAAAACATTTCGTGCTGCTGCTGTGCCTTACCTGGCTAATGTGGATCCTCAAAACAGCCAGGTTTTCACAGTGGTGGAGGCTAAGAAGGTTCTGCTGAGAAAATGGTAAAAAGATGTCGCTCGTGCTCCGCGATTCAAGGCCTTAAAGCCTCTTCTAGCACCTGCAGTTGCTGCATCTACAGAATCGTACAGCATGGGATCGGGTTGCATGCCGCTCTCTCATTTTTGCGCTGGGGCTTGGTCTTTCCTGCGAAACCGCGGGGGCCAGCGGCAAGCTGCCCCTTTCTGTGCAATATGATGCTGAGGAAGTTTTCTTCAGTGCTCCGAATACAATGAAGGCATCAGCTGTGTGCTGCTTGTGGCCTGGCCTGCGGTAGCATATAGTGTGGGGCCAGGCTGTACTGGCCTCAACAAACTTCGGCTTGCAGGCTCACTGCTCTTGCCCACAGACCGGTGCAGTGGCACCGCTCCTCCTTGCAAATTTGTTTCACTGACGCATGTTCATATTGCCACTTTCGTGGAGCAGTTGTGCAGTGCGGGGGGGGCGCGTGAGGAGGATGAAGAGGCTTTAGGTCCTTTCTCCTGAATTCGACAGTAGCCTTGCAAGATGAAGTGGTCAAAGCACATTGGCCCCGACCATAAGAGTGCGGCGGGGCGTATGAATACTGAAAATGAGACGGAAACTCGCTCGGTTTTCTCAGACCTCTCGTCCACCTCCTCCGCCTGGCATTCCACTGAAGATGAGGCGTCACCGATTACCCTGGGGGAAAGGCCGTTCACAGAAGGCAGCACTTTCGCTAGCACTTCCACGCACTGGGATCCTTCGCCTTCGTCCGGTGCATCCACAGAAACGCTAATGGTTGCTACTGCAGGAGTTCCACCGAGTAACGCCCTGCGCAGTACCCCCAAGGCATTTGGCCCTCGGGGTATCGTAGCCTCTTTGTTGAGTTTCATCTTAGCGGCAGCTCTGATCACAGCGGCTACAATGGCCACCAGAAAGGTAGTCCATGAAAAGCAGCCACCGGTGGAGCCCCTTGTCGCGAAAAAACAAAAGCCTCCCAAGCCTAAACCCAAGCTTACATTAGACCTCACCAAGGACGAGGAAATTAGCTTTCCTAAAAGGCCTGAGGGTGCTTACTCGTATTTTGGTCCAGCCCCTGATATTAAGGTCTCATCGGATCAGCAAAGTATTCAACGCTATGAAGCGGCATTGGGGGCGGCCAGTGTTCAGCTTTCCCAGGCATGGAACTCGGCCTCCTCGATCGTCCAGGAAGCATTTTGTAAGCATTTTATGCCGAGACTAAAGGAAGGCGTCACAGTTCCTGCGCCGTTGGCTATGTTCGAGCGCCATGCAGAGGCGCTGCGGAGCATGAGTATTGGTGAGCAGTCCAGCACTACCGAAAAACGTAATTATGTTGCTCGGCTCCTCTTGGTGACCTCAGTACTCCACGCGGCGTCTGCACGAATTTCCTCACTCACAGAACTGGAAACGTTCTGCAAGAACACAGGCATGGGTTCAGTGCTGCTGGGCATCAAAGCAGTTCCTTTGCCTTCCGCTGAGCAGCTTTCCTCAATAGGAAAGGGTGAAGAGGCTAACACCACAAAAGTTTCATATTCAAGGTTTCTGGATCTAGTTCAAGACTGTCATGCCCCAGATAAATCCAGTGGTGCACGTTCAAACCAAGGCATACCCGAAGTCCTAGCCATGAGACTCGTTAACGTCCTGAAATGTGAAATGCTGCACGAACAGCACAACACCCGAGTAACTAAGGCGTTCGACATGTTATTAGATGCGCTTGGGAGGGAATCGCCTTCTCACAAAGCAAGCTTAGTGAATCGTTCGGGATTTCTCATGTCTCCAGGCAACAGACCGTTTAGCACTCCTGCTTTTGAGTTTGCTCTCGCCGAGTTAGGAAAACAGAACAAGGACCATGCAGTGTCTCCGAGAGATATTGCATCTTGGTCCCATAGTTGGACCGTGCATGGCGTGTTGAGCATTCTGCAATGGTTGGAAGCGAAGGAGTGTCAATGGCTGGACAATAAGAGAAACGACAAGGAGGAAGCAACACAGGTTTTTCAGGAACTGTGGATAGGCACCCACGTGCCTGCCCACGACCTGTACTCCTTAGCCGTTGCGTTGTTGTAGTCGCTTTGCCCAACAACCATGTGTTGCAGTCCCTGTCTCACATATGTTTGATGCCTTCAGCATTGCGTTTTCAGCTTCTCAGCTGAAACACTTTGCGTAGGGAAATAGGGTAATTGCATTGCATCGGCCCACATCTGTGGTAAAAGTTCTGTGGTTTTGCCGGGCCAAATTCGTTTGCTAATGATTTTGTGGGTGCATTTATGGTGTTCCGTGCAGTCTTGTGCGATGCTGAAGCATGTCTTATAGTTCACGGCGAAACTGAAGTAAGCATTAATTTTTTCTTATAGCCACTGCTTATGAAGTTTTCGTAGGTTGTTTTGATGATTGGCGTTGCGCACTTTTTTCAAGGATAGCTGTCATTTCAGGCTGAACGTTCGGCGCAGCTGTCGTCAGCCTGGCTGCGCATTTATTTTTGCTCACACGCCGCCGATGAATATCGGATCCTCCTACGAGCAAATCTGCTGCAAGAACCCAAAGATGCAGTACGGGTAGGCAACGCTGCTTCAGTGACTACGAGCATAGCTTTGGGACCTAAAAGCGTTTTACGGCTGGAACATGGCCAAAATGGCGATGGCGTTTGCTTCCAAACTGAGCATTGAGAGCTTCGAGGGAGATAGTGAAGAACCCCTGAATGCAAGCATAGCCTACAATAGAATATCGCAATAGCTAGATTGCTGCTCATGTTCAGTGTTTACGCACTATATTCTGGGTCTTCCTTTGGCAAACATTAGGGCTTGCTGGAGGGACGTTAAACTGCCAAACTCCCCAAGCAGCCGCGCGAGCAGCCCACACTCTCAGTAGTTTGGGCAGTAGGTATTCACTTATAGAGACAAAGCCACCTATAGTGGCAGCGTCAGACATGGCGCTACTATGTAGAATGATCCCAACGGGGGCTGGCCTGCTAATATTTGCTGATGTTGGCGCAGGATATCAGCATCCATCCTTTACAATCAATTTCCTCTATGGCAATAACGTAGTTGTGTGAGCATCAATGGTATATTTAGTGCTTATAGAATGAGGCGCGTGGAACACATGAGCGGCCTGCCAACTTCAGCGGTAGCACAAGTTTTTACAGAAGGATTTCTGCCACCGTGCCAAATTGATTCCGATATCGGGGTCCAAGCGAGCTCGTTACCGGTAGCCAACCTCCTGTGCCAACATTGTGTCGGCCGTAGCAGCAACTCCTTTGCTCTGCTGATAGGCATCCGACCAGGCCAAAACGCACCCCCAGGTTTTGGTTTTCCTGCAGTAGCTACGGATTCAAATCGGAAAACCCAGACTAAGACTTTAAAGACCTTCGAAGCAAAAGGTCCATCATTTAAGTGCACCCAACATGGAATCGCCATTAACTGCCGTGCATTACTGGGGAGAATGTGGAACCTGCTGGCATCAAGTGAGCAACTCTATGTCAGCTAGCTCGAAGCACCACAGATGCGCCCTCCCGGAGTAAGAACACACGCCCTCTCTGCAACCAAATGTCTTCTCAACAAAGTAGTCGGCAAGTTCTGCGAACGGCATGCCTAGTGCTTCCGCACTGCAGAGCAACTGTACCTGAATAACGATATACTTTCGAAGCACAAAGTTCACGAGGAGTTCTTAGGTGCCTTCAGACTTCAAACAATGCACATGGATGATTGTCACAATTTTAAAGGAAGACATGCCATAAATGTATATCTGCACTATCATGTAGAAGGGAGAAGCCTTCAGTTTATCGTTTTGTCATTAAAGAGCAAGTGCTAGTGCGAAACGGTGTGGGGCTCTCTCCAGAGGCCCTTGCTTATTTATGGACTCTTCGTTACATGTAAGAGTTGCGGTGTATCTTCAGGTATTTAAATATCGTGGCCATGTTGTCAGCGCCCCGGCGTGAGGCCCACGACTGCACTTCATAATGCAGCTACCTTCACGTAGTTTCTTGGCCTTCTCGGTCTAATCTCAAGAGCAACGGACAAGGAATGGGCTGTCTTCGAAGGACAATTAGCTTGTATAACGTGCTCTTCTACTAGAGCAACCGTAGCGCGATCAAGTGTTCACAAAATGTTTCTCAAAGCTAAATGTGCAAATCTGTTGTCTTCCATCATAGAACGTACTTTTGCCATCTGAAAAGCTTTAGAGGCCACGATCTCAGGGGTCCTCGCGGCTTCCCTGGTGTCTTTCCACTGTGCACAGCGGTTCCCCAGCCTCTGAGCAACCTATCGAGAGCTCACTGCAGCCCGTATTTGTCGGACCCTTCATATCTTCAGCGGCTATTAAATTGTGATACACTATATGAGGCAGTCTAAATGTTTCCTCATGTATTCTGTCAATCGGCGGAAAAATAAGGAGCGGCCCTCAGTTGCTCCCAAACTGACGACAGCAACACCCGCTGCAACACATACTCGGCACTTTGTTTCTTGTCTGCCACTTTCCCCGGGTGCAGAAGCTGCACAGCAAGGTTAAAGCTTTCCAAGGCCAGTTTCGTCGTATCGAGCCGCACATAGGGCGATGTGAGGACATGAGACCGTAAAGAGGCCTTAAATTGTAGGATGAAAACGCTGTAATCTAGCTAAAGAGAGCCTTACTAGGCATGAAATTTGACTTTATTTCATGATGCCTCACATAAACAAAGCATAGCTCCAACGCCTAGATACTAAAAGGCAGTACTTCATTCTAGCAGCTGCTTATCCCGCGCTGCGGCTGAAAAAGAGCTTGCGTCCCTAACATGGGGCCCGCTTGAAACATGTGGACTTTCCGGGTTCCCTGCACCCTTATGCATCCGTGTAAGCATGCACTGCTAGAGCGGATTCGCAGTGTCCGTTGACGGCATGAACAACATATTTCGGCAAAGGTTTCCTCTCCTGACGTGTAGCAAATCACTGGAGACCAAACTTGCTAAGCCTTGTATGCCATTTGGCGTCATCGATGCAGACAGCATGGAAAAAGAGTGTTCCAATCTGCTGTTTTCGCTGAGATGTCACAATGCCAAATGAAGCGTATAAAGGCTTGTGACGTAGTGAATTTGCTAAGGTGCTTTGAGACGTAAGGCTGCCCCGCGAAACCCACAATGTCTAGCAAGATAACCCATCCAAAGGAACATTTAAACTACATTAGCTACAAAGGCTCACCGAGAGATGTGAGAGCATGATAGTTTGGTGAGTACTCCTTGCTCAAAGGCAGGCTGAGGCAACAGCCGCCCTCGACTCGTTTGGCAGGCAGCGCGCGGCTGATTTGCAGGATCAGCAAACCAGAAATTTAGAGTGCTGTTGGTATCAAGGTGTGAAACTGATATCAGCCCCGTTCTACATATACTAATAGGCATCAACACATTTCCTGGCCGTCCGACAAGCTCCTACAGATTTCTATATGGAATGAAGGGCTTGTACTGAACTGGTGACAAGGTCTTTATGTAAAGTGGAGATCGATGCTTTCCAATGGCCACACTGTAGTGTAGATCAGGACGTAATTACCAGAAGTTCTGAAGTGTATTCTACGGGAAAACGCGACTCTCCTTGCTTATCCCCTGTCTAAACTTTTGCCCTGATCTCATGCTATGACCAAACTAAGCCCTATCCAGAAGCTGGCTTCCCCTTCGTGTAGGGCGTTCTGAGTACGAGCTCGGCAGGGGCACTGAAGACTTTGTTTAAATGCGTCATTCTCCACCCTTTTCACCATGGGATGATCGTCAGCCCCAAACATGTGTAGCTGACGGTTGATCCAAAGCAGCTCCCTAGTTCCTGCCTTCATCCCTCAGGGATCCACCATGAGGTTTGAGGAACAGCGGGGCAGCAGGTTGCTGCACCGCCTAGGCACTCCGAGCATTCACACGCACTTGGACATGGCATCTTGCACACTCGCACGCAACACTGCAAATTCTTGTACCAAGCCATTAGTGTCCTGCAACAAGTAAAATTGTACGAACACACCCACCAATTAGTTAATTTCTTTTATTGCTTTCAGTTAAATACAACTGGTGTATTAGAAAGTGTTTAGCTGAAGCTTGGCCCGCTGCATCTTCCCCTCATTTCAAATCAGATGCCCTCGTACTCCAGAGCTGTCTGTTTGGATCAACTGCGTGTAGAAGAGCGAAACATCGTTCACCCTATCACCATCCCTCAGGCACGCAAAACACTGTTGGTGCGAATTAGAACGGCAAAGTGTGCATCAGCCGGTGCAGATAAATCGACGGAAGAGACACACGCTAGCCAACAACAGACGAGGAACAAATCAGCCCGACCATGGTGGTGGTATGGTTCGCTCGTGTCAGAGCTTTGAGATGTGTAAGCCTTCTATCACAAACATAGTAGAAGACAAGTAAAGTGTGTGCCGAGGATAGAAACAAACATTAGTTTAGCAGTGGCCTCACGCCTCATTGACCGATGTATTCATACAAGCATGTCAAGTGAGTGCAACAAAGTCGACTTCAAAGCCCCTTAAGAGACACACGAAAGAATGTAGAGTCAACATGCTCGAGTGTGCCCGCGCATGAGTCTGAGTGAAGAAATCACTTTGGTAATAATGGCCGGGAGCATTGCAAACAATACTTATAAATGGAATTCGCTGATTCAGGCAAAGCACAAGTGGGAATAAGCGACTTTTCAGGCAAAATTCACAGATGAATCCAGCCAGTTCATGCAGATCATGTGCTGGGGAAGAACATTTAACTACCAACACGACAAACTGCGTACATAACAATAAGCACTGAGAAACCAAGCAAAGCTGCAACTTATTTTTCTGGCAGCGGAGCCCGCAATTGCTCCGGCAATTACTCGGGCTGCTATGTCTCACGTAAGCCACTAGGAACTCTCGTCCACTGTGTTCCCAGGGCACTTTAGTCCTTGAACCCAGCACTTCGTCGGCTCCTTGTGAATACTCCGCCTGCATACGGGTCATCTGCCTGCAAAGTAGAGAGAGCGAACAGTTCAGGCAGCTTTATAACTGCTTTAAGAAACCAATATGGAGAAAGCTGTGAGACTTTTACTGTAGGCATACAGAAAGGATCAGGCAGTGCATCATTCGTGAGAAAT